ATCACTGCCAGTAGGAAGAACTCGGTGGTGCCCAGGAAGAAATAGAGAAAACTTTGTAGGAAACAGCCAGGGAGGGAAATGGTCTTGTATCCATTCAGGATGTTGGCCAGCATCTTGGGGAAGATGACTGAGGTGAACCATATCTCCAGGACAGCAAAGTTGCGGAGGAAGTAGTACATCGGGGTGTGGAGGCGCCTGTCCATAAGGGTGATGCCCACAATGAGGAGGTTCCCCAGCAGAGTGAGGAGGTAGGTCAGGAGCAGCCCCAGGAAGATGAGCATCTGTAGCTCACAGGCATCTGAGAGCCCCAGCAGGACAAACTCAGTGATAGTGGTGTGGTTCCTCACGGCTCCTCTGACATCCGCTGGGGGTGGCCAATCAGAGGTGTGCAGCATCAGGATTTGTAGTGTTCTGGGTATCTGAGGGCACTTGGAACTGAAAGGAAAGAGGGATGAGTGTTCCATTTTCAGCTGAAGGAGCCCTTTGTTTTCATGAGGGTGGTATCTTCCTACTAGTCACTATTCAGGCTTGTTGTGTAGATACCCTGGGGATTTTTGTCTCTTGCTTGGTCCCAGGCATTTTTGTGTTGGAGGAGAAAATGGTGGTTTTCAGGGTGAAGTAAGTAAGGCCCCAACGCAAAAGTTATCTTTGCTTACTTTTTTTTTTTAAGATTTAATTATTTATTTGATAGAGATTATAAGTAGTCGGAGAGGCAGGCAGAGAGAGAGGAGGAAGCAAGCTCCTCTCTGAGCAGAGAGCCAGATGTGGGGCTCGATCCCAGGACCCTGAGACCATGACCTGAGCCGAAGGTAGAGGCCTAACCCACTGAGCCATCCAGGCGCCCCTCTTGCTTACTTTTTTTTTTTTTTTAAGATTTTTGCTTGCTTACTTTTTTAACCCAACAAAATTTTATTCTTGATACTGAACAAATCCCTTTACCCCTAACATTATAGTCTGTTTTCCATGCTTTTTATTCTTATATTTAGTCCAATAGTGGATCTTTGCATATAAAAAACAGTTCATATTTGAGGGTAGGAAATCTTTTTGCTTAACTTAGCCATTCACTGCACAGTTACATATACTCAGGTAAACTGATTTAGAATGTATAGAACTCTATTGCTTTTCAAGATTACCTGAAAATGTGATGTCTTTCACTAGTATTTAGATTAATAAAGAGAGAGAGAGAGAGAGAGAGTATCTATGAGAGAAAGACAACTCTTACAAATCAAAATAGCACAATTTGAATAATGTGTTTATAAATAAAAATTTCTAAGAGGGTTTGTTAGTCAAGGTCCTTAAGGATCTGTTCTCAGATGGTATATCTGTGTTCTTCTCTCAACATTTTCTTGTCGGTTTTAGATAGAGTAGACTCTTTACAATATCTTAGTTCCATTTTATGCATCTGTGTTTCTGCATGTGACATTGGTTCGGCAATTATTAGCCTTTCACGTCCTATTTATCCTTTAACTCTCCCTTAAAAAGTGCTATCATTTTTATGAAACCTCTTCTGAATGAGTGATTCTTTCCTCTGTATCCCTCATAATTTTATTATATCTCATTTGATTTTTATTGAATTTTATACTTGTTTTTCATTTGTTGCTCATTGGGTCAAAAAATGTCTACTAATTTGTATTTGTTACAGCCCTTAGAACAAGTTTTCTGAAATAATCAGCTTCAGTAAACATTTACTGAATGAGTGAACAGCACCTCAAATGCCTGAGAGAGCGATGGGGTGGCATTTGACACAGAAGAGGTTGAGGACACGTCATTTATATCGTACTTCCTAGGGGCCAGCAACCTTGCAGAATCATATGCCAACTAGTCTTAAATTGGCCCATGTGAAGAGAGCTTGCTTTTCCTCATGAGAAGGTGGAAATGTCTCCCCACAAACATTCTCTAAGGAGATATTCTCCATCTTTGAGACAGTCTGGGTTTTGAGCTAGTAAGTGGAGCTCTGGTTATGTCTGCCAAAGTGCTCCCAGCAGCAAAACCCCCCAAACCTTAAAAAGGTCTCTTTTTAAAAGTCAGCATTCCCTAACGGTGCCTGGCTGGCTCAGTTAGTAGACCACGATTTCAGGGTTGTGAGTTTGAGTCTCACGTTGGGTGTAGAGATTCCTTAAAAATTAAAATCTTAAAGTCAGAATTCTTGTAAGTTTCCTCCCTTAGACATTATCAATTACAACCTTAATTACCTTGCAGAGCTGTAGCAAGAATTATTTGCCAGTCACTGGAGAATAAGATTGGGACCCATGTTAGGTACTTGGGATGAAGGAAATGCTAGGGGATACCAGTAGAAAGGATGAACTGGTAAACTGTATACACTTTTCCTTTTGTTATGGTTTTATCTTCTTTTTAGCACCAACCACACCATTCATTCTACAAACTACCACTATATCTGACATTTGTTCACAGTTACTAACACAAAATAGTTGATTAGCCTCTGAGGACATAACGACAGCTATTCCTCAGTGTTATTCCTAGGCTTAACGTTGTTTAGATTCTCAGCCATTTGAAAAAGAGGCCTATGGGGACCCTGGGTGGCTCAGTTGGTAAAGCATTTGACTCTTGATCTCAGGCTTGTGCATTCAAGACCCCCACTGGGCTCCATGCTGGATGTGGAATCTACTTGAAAAAGAGAGAGAGAGTGAGAGAGGTTGGTCTTTGAGGTGCAAAGGTGAGCCCGGGGGCCAAGAAACTTACTCAGCTGTTCTGGAACAGAAGCAAGATCCAACATAAACATGATACCCGGAAGCAGGATCCAACATGAATATGATACCCAGAAACACCATCAGGAGCTAATAGAATGAAGGCTTTTTAGGAGAAGTCCTGGTGGGACACAGTGGAAGAAAGATGGAATAGAGACTAAGACGAGGAAGAGTTGGATGCAAGTGGGAGGGGAGGTCAAAGCTCTGGCTTTACACTAAATCATAATCTTAACACAGACAAACCATGAAAATACTCTGTGACCAGCCCAAGGATTTGGGACATGGATAGTGCTGCTGATAATCTTCTGGCTTTTTTCCTATTTCTAACCAGAAGTCAACCTCTGGGGGGACGGGGAGTCCAGATAGGATGGGAAGTTGGCCACATCTCGAATCCTTGGCATTTCCTCTTTTATCTTATATACTTGGTGAATGAAGACACTTGCCTGGCAGCCTAAAAGCCTGAACATGCCTCACCATCTACCTAGAGCATTCACTGTTTTAAGTTAGTTATGCAGTGCCCAGTGGGGAAATCTGTGTATCTCCTGGAGATTCGTCCTACTATGCTGGAATTGCATGGTCTCTGGACAGTTCATTTGAAAGGAGGGTGAGATCTTTTCCTTCTAAGGAAAAGCATTAAAGGTTTCACCCAGACTCAATAATGTCCAGAGCTTTGGGTTTTCCAAGGGCCAATTAACTAGTGTACAGGGTGGGACAGACAAAATTCCTCAATGTGAGTGAGCGACTGAATGAATAAGGAGGTCTGCTGAACTTTGACCTGGATGGTGGGTGGGGCTAAAGTTATACCATGTGTATGTTTGATGTGCCAGTCTTATAAAGGAATATAAGAACAAAGTGCATGGAATAGGAGGGTTGAAGAAGCCACTTTGCCATGCCAAGGTGGAGGTTAGCCCACAGGTCCAGGTCAGGGGTCTAGTAGCCCTCTGGGGAAGTCCCAATCAGGCCATGCCAAGTACATTACTCACAGGATAGCAGAGGATACCTGGTCCTCATGGGTACTTCTTGAGGATGCGATATTGTCTAAGGCTCTACATGGGAATCTTACGCTGTTAGTGTGAGATCTTCATCTCTCATGAATTCGACAGCATTCTCTAAGAACACCTATCTTTTCCCAAAGCATCCTGAATGATCAGCTGGCATTCCCTGGGTAGGAGGGTTTCCCTGAACTTGAATCCATTCATCCTTCAGGTTGTAGGATCTGCTGAGTACAGAATGTTGAAGTCTTCCATTTTCAGCAAGACCATCCTGGGGGAAGCCTTGGAAAAATATAGTTATCATTTGGTGCATTTCTCCTTCATCCTCCTCTTGGACTAATGGGGGTGCTTTTGACTGGTAGAGACTTTTATTACATCTTCGTATTGGCTCAATCTCTGGGAGATGATATTTCTCCCGTGGACAATGGGGCTCTAGGGGAGAGTGGGTGAGCTATTCCTGGAACAAACACATCTCTTTGTGGAAGTGACATCAGGGTTGAAAGATTTAGGTTTCATCTTTGTTTTCCTAAGGGATCTACTCTTTTCCAAAGTTTGATGGGGTTTGGGATCCCTAGATAATTAGTATAATGAGCCTCCCTCAGCCTCTTCCCAACTCTCTTGACTGTTATTTACTACAACTTTGCAAACAAAAGTTTCTGTTGTTTGTTCAGATCAAGAATAACAGTTACTTAAAAGTAGAGTAATATTTCTAGAAATAGAAGTATTTCTAGAAAAAATTTCTAGAAAAAGCTAGAGTAGTATTTCTAATTATGCCTCTGAAATGGGGGACTCCTGTCTAATATTAGGCAGTCCTATTGTTACAGGGATGTAAGGAGCCAACAAAAGTAATAGAGACCCTTGGTTAATTCTATCCTGACTCCTACCTTACTGGAAGATGGTGAAGATGGGGTCCTGGAGGGAGGGGAGAAACAACAGGGAAGGAAATGAAAAAGTTAGGGTTAAAAAAATTTCCCAGCTGTATTGAGGTATAACTGACAAATAAAATGGCATCTATTTAAAGTGTACAATGTGATGACTTGATATACCATATAGTGTGAAATGATTAGTACAATGAGGTTAATTAACATGCCCTCACTCGCAGAATTACCATTTGTGTGGGTGTTGGTAACACCTAAATTTTACACTTTGTGGGGTGCCTGGGTGACTCAGTTTTAAGGGTCTGCCTTCTGCTCAGGTCCCTGAGTTGGGCTCCCTACTCAGCAGGGAGTCTGCTTCTCCCTCTCCTTCTGCTCCACCCCCCTGCTTGTGTTCTCTCCCTCTTGCTTGCTTACTCTCTCAAATAAAAAAATAAAACCTTAAAATTTTTTTCCATGTTGCAATACACAAGTGTATAAAATCAGCATGTTGTACATCTGAAACTTGCACAATGTTATGTCAGTTATATTTCAATAAAAAATAAAAACTTTTCAGTTTGGGGAAAGAAAAGTTATTCTCTTAGCAAATTTCAAGTGCACAATATAGTATTATTAACTACAGACTCCATGCTGTACCTTGCATCCCCAGAACTTATTCATCTATGGTTAGAATTTTGTACTATGTCATGTCCCCATTTCCTTCACTCCCCAGTCCCTGGCAACCACCATTCTGCTCTCTGTTTTTATGAATTTGACTTTTTATTTGTTTGTTTAGATTCCACCAAGAATGAATGATACCATATAGTATATGTCTTTGTCTGGC